CACGAATATTTACACCAAAGAAGTAGAGGAAAGTTCAAATGGTGAAAAGATTGTGAGTAGTGAAATTTATCATACAAAGTTTATTTATATGAAATGGCAGGCGTTTTGTTGGTTATCGTTAGCCCTTTAGTTCACTTCAGGCTTCACAGAGTGGAGGAGGAACATCAAAGTGAAAGAAAGTCGATAGGGGGGGGGAACAGAAAAGTGTTTCAAAGACGAAGGTAGAAAAGGTAGAAAAATGGTGAGGTGAGTATTGTGGAAGTAGTCATACAGTGGGGTGATGGTAATTTGAAATTAGAAGTCAACTGCTGGTTTATAGACTTTTTGCCGTATGAGTATACGCTGCCCAGGGTGCTTCGCGTGGAGGTAAGTCTATCGCACACCCCTATTATACAAAGTAAGCTCTGCTAACTACTATCTTGGTCAATCACTTAAAAAAATTTGGTTGAATTAAATCAAGAAAGCTGTTTCTACATTTAGAGAAAAACCTGCGATTTTTACATCGGCCCCCTTCTAATGAACTCGATACATATAAAGCATGCATTCATTTTTTCTGTTCGTTTCACTATCAGGCGCATGGATTCGGAAATACGAGATTTCATGAGGAAAATGGGTTTTGGCGACAATTACAGACAGCTTGAAAATTATTATTTCGAGAACCTATTCAATAAAATCAAAGAGGTTGTCAGTAAAAGGTTGAAGATATATGTTTGGCAAGAAATTTTCGACGACTCCGTTAAGGTAAGCATATCGATATTACTCCATTACGTACCTCCTCTCTGAGAAAGTTAATTGTCTTATATTAAAAATGTTTAGACTAATAGTTCGGTTGTCATCCATGTTTGGAAAATCGGAGCGTGGAAGGCTGAATTGGATGCAGTTACTAGAACCGGAAAAGAAGCCATTTTCTCCGCATGTTGGTATCTGAATTATATTCGAACAGGCGAGGATTGGATTGATTTCTATAGATGCGACCCTGGGACCTTTACTAGTTAGTTGCTAAATAAGTCCTACTTATTTTATAAAGTAGAGTAGTTTTTATTCACAGTACTTAGCACGTTTTTCAACTTCAAAATGAAATGGCTGCAATAAGTACCGGTATGCCAATATTCTATGTAAACAGTTTTTATTATTCTATTCGAAAAAATTCATTCTGACAGTTGTTTAGCTGTTTTAATTGTCCTCTCCGTTAATTCGTTAGAGATCGATAGCCTTTCACGCTATTTTAGAGTTCTCCTAAGGTCCTCTTAAATGCTTTTACTTTGAATACGTTGTTGTCTTAGATCGGCCTGAACAACTTGCTCTACTCAAAGGTGGAGGGGCTGCGATGTGGGGAGAGTTTGTGGACCACACTAATCTGATGTCTCGGTCCTGGTAAGTCATTGTTGCTATAAACTTATAAAAGCAAAAGGCTGTCTTTAGTTGTTCACTAAAAATTGTAATTAATTTCGCGATCCACCCTTTGAATTTGCCCTCATTGGCCGTTAGTATTAACTTATAAAATGATTATTTCTGTTGTGACGAAATGCTGAGAAATTTGTCAACTCATTTACTAATGGAGTAAATTTTGATATTGTATTTGCCATTTAATTGGTTTAAAAACATTTTAAGCAAATTAATCCAGAGATTAAATGCAGAAAATTGCATTTGCCTTTCTAGTATGCTAAAAGAAGCTGCGGTTTTGTTACATTCTTACAATTGTACTTTAATTCACATGGCATGATTTCATTATTCAACAACCTTTATCCTGAACCAAGAGTACTGTCCTTTTATAAGGAGAACACGCACACTGGTCTTAATACAAAATTTAATATTTGGAATATCTCCATGTTATTACAGTAAAAAATATACTGTTTAAAGCATCAATATTTGAAAGCTTTTCAAATTAATAAAAGGTGACACATTAAAACCTTAAGAACAGCCTATATTCTTCAGAAATGTGGAAATCATCGAGGTTAAGCGGTTAAGTTATTGTTTATTTCTTGAGCACTTCACGTCTCAAAGCTCAAATTTTAGATTTCGGATTTTCAATATGTGGAAGCCAGTTAGATGCAGGCGATGCTTTCAATAAATGGAGATCACTTTTTCAATACTAAGACACATTGAGTCTTGGACAGCTCAGTAGAAATCACTAAAAGATAAAATTCCATGTTTTTGTCATTCTTGGGCATTTAAGTAGAATCTCAAGCATATTTTAGCCCATTAACACCCAACCGCACTCACGCGTGTGTCCTACAGCAGACTGATGCTGCCGACGTGAAGAGCTTTGGTGGTGTATCAGGCGAAGGCTACATAGACGTATTGAACATGTTTCAAATGGCAATAGCGCCGCTTCTGTTACGTGTCAAGTACTAATGTAGCTTATTTTGAAAGAGGACTGTAGGGTCCATAGAATGTTAAATGGTTAAATATTGATTTTTTATTTCTTTTCAAAGGTAACAATTCTTGGTTAAATTCTGGCAATTAGAATATGAATAAAATACTATTATCCAAGCACTGCTCAATCTTTGAATGTCTAAGATTTATTGGTAGTTGTGTAATTCAAGCAATTGTATGGAACTCGGAGAGCATGCCCAATTAATGAACTTTTCAATTTTCACTGCAGGCCCCGAGGTGCAGCGGTTGCGGAGCGCTTGTGGAGCCCGGCTTCTGCAACTGACATTGATGGCATGCGAATCCGTCTCTTCAACTTCCGGTGTTTCCTGCTCTCGTAATTAAATTGATAAACGTTTTAATGCATTTAATTTTAATATATAAAAGATGAGATAATTTAATTGGGGGGGGGGGGTTGAATATTACTCCAACGTCTGATAACTTGACTAAAACGATGGTTTAAAACTTTGCAGGTGAACGGTAAAGTTCAAAATATTTTAGGATACATATATTTGCAAACTCTAAGATTTAACATCTCTTATGCCAATTAGTGGTAAAGATCCAGTGCATCCAAAGTTAAATTAAATCCATGAACCAGTTGGCAGGTTATGATTTATTCATATTTGGAAAATCTCTTACTATATCTGACCAAGAAATATCAAACATACAAAATCACTTATTTAATTAAGATAAGATAAGATTTAGTAATTTCATTTAAGTTCTAGGCCTTTGACTAATCCATAAAACCCAGCCGTTCATAGGAATCATTCATTGAAAAGAAATTGAGATTTCAGTCTAACAGAGGAAGGAGTAATAGCATTCCTTCCAAATCTCATATCTTTTCTTAAAATGGTTTCCACTCGTTAGGTGACCAGTATGGGTAAATAACACTGCGAGTTTGTAAGAATAAGTGATTGCATGGGCGTAATGCGACTAATTGGTGCAGGTGAGCTTTGCGCTACTCTTGCAGATATATGAAAGTATTTTTGCTATCATTTGCTTTTCAGGATGGGACTTGGAGCGGAGCCAGTGACAGGCCCGGGGTACTGTGATCTTAGCTGAGCCAACGCGTGACAATGCAACATATGAATCAACTGGGTCATGTCGATTGGGTTTATGATGGAACATCACAAAATAAGTTTCAAACTGACTTTGCTGTATTATTAATGCCATTGAATAATTAAATCACGTTTGGGGCACTTCCTTTATTTAAATTTTTGGACAACCATATTTTCTGAATGTAAATGTAAAGCATACTTAAAGGATGTGGGTTATAAGCGAAAGAAGAAGTATTTTCGGGTGCTTAATTGCTCTATTTCAACCGTCACTTGGTAGGTATCATTCGGCTTCGAAAATACTCCAATTTGTTATCATACGGGTTTTTGCGTCACTTTTGGGATAACTTGTTCTGCGATTATTTGAAATTCGATTTCGCCCATCCACGATTTGCTTCCCACTATAATTGACCCAGGAAATAGAAAATACTAGCAATTATAATTTTCTGAAAGGATTTGACAAGGATACTACCCTAGAAAAAACCAATGAGTTCACGTGTCTCGGAATGACGTTTGACACAAAGCTAACGTGGAAAAGTAACTCGGAATGACGTTTGACACCAAGCTAACGTGGAAAAGTCATATTGCCAAAATAGCAGAACGGTCTCCAATAGACTGAATGTCCTGAAGCGTCTTGCTGGTAGATCTCCAATAGACTGAATGTACTTAAGCGTCTTGCTGGTAGCCAATGGGGCCTGTAGCGCTCAACTCTAGGACCATTACAAGATGTTTATTCAGCCAATAGTGTTGTATTGCTGTAAGTCACTCATTACAACCACAAAGGTGACTCGCAAACCACTCGAGATGGCCACGAGGTGACTCTCAAACCACTCGAGAAGGCACACAACCAAGCATTACGACTAATTACTGGAGGGATAAAATCAACACCCATTGTTGTAATGCTCATAGTTACAGGAAGCACCACAATATGTATCCTTATCAAGAGAAGGCCTTGATCCTGCCCATTCCCATGGATAAGTTCTTCAGCACCTATGAGAATAGACCAAGACATCTGAAAACGCAATCCG